GAGTGAGTGGCTGGGGGGGGACTTACCTGCCAGCTGGGGTCAACCCACTATACCATGCACAGCAAATTAAGTAAGATCCAGTTAAACCTTTTTTCAAAACTATCTATCTTCCATATTCTTATTGTTGAGAATCAAAGCTATCTCACCAAGAAAAGCATTGAAGTGGGAAGAGGCTGTTGACTGTGTTAGCATACAAAGGTCACATCAGTACAACTGATGTCTGCCAGCTTAGCAAATGCAATTCCTACGTTGCTGTTCCGTTTAATGCACTGCCAAGTCAAGTGCTCAGTGACAGAAGTTTCACAGTGTGTTTTAGTACACATGAAAGTTCTTATAGGAAAGCTTTTAAGTCATAAGAAAATTCATTTTAACTTTTTTACTTTGAATTACAGAGTTATTTTAGAGTTGTTTTAGAGTTCTTTTTCATGTGGTGTAGATATTTTTAGGGTTATGCAGTATTCCAAAAGTGCCTAAAACATCCTTCCAAGAAAGCTATTGGAAGTGACATAGACCAGAAAGACCTTTAGTGCTACAAATTTACATGACACAAATTTATACCAGGTAAAGATACCTGAAACATGGAAGAAAACAAATCAGAAATATGCAAGATGATGCAAGTAAAAAAATGGAATTAATGCCATTTTCACTCCTTTGTCAGGCTATGTAGGACAGCTTTTTTTAAAAAAACACCAGTAGCATCAGGGATGAAAAGCATTTCTGATACCATCTGTGACATTGTGAAAAGCCATGCATGCAATAACTCAATGTTACTCAAAGTGTTATAAGTAATATACACGTTCCTTTGTAAATTCTAAAGTTGAATTAATGGCTTTGATTCAAGGAACCTTGACCAGGAGTTTCTGCATCAAACGCTTTTAAATAATATCATAAATAATAAACGTTACTTATGTTAAAGTTACATTCAATATTGACTTGAAGATCTCAAGTGATGGAAAAACTTCTATGTTCTTTGGCAGTGCACTTTAAACTACAAGGGTAGTGTATCAGTTTTATTCCACCAAGTTGTCCCAGCAGATTAACACAGTGTTAAGCAAGGGTATTCAATTTCCTATCACTAATTTTATTTTGGTACATTTAAGATAAAGTATATTCTATCTAACACAAGAAAGCAAATGCACTCATATATGTAACTTAAGTCTTTATAGGCCTTCGTTCTTTCTTTTTCTTTTTTTCTGATGTAGGTTACAATAGGCCTGAAAAGTGAAATATCTTCAAAGTATGTAAGCCAAGGAAACCAGTAACTCAGAATTTCAGCATGGATTTTCTCACTTAGAATCATAGAATGCTTTGGGATGGAAGGGACCTTTAAAAGTCATCTAGTCCATCCCCCCTGCAATTGGCAGGGACATCTACAACTAGATCAGGTTGCTCAGAGCCCCATCTTGCCTGTCCTTGAACGTTTCCAAGGATGGGGCATCTACCACCTCTCTGGGCAACCCGTTCCAGTGTTTCACAACCCTCATTGTAAAAAATTTCTTTCTTACATCTAGTCTGAATCTACCCTCTTCTAGTTTAAAACCATTACCCCTTGTCCTATTGCTATTGGCCCTGCTAAAAAGTCTGTCCCCAACAGAATACTATAACTATTTCTGGACTGCTCTTTTGACACCCACCCTCCTCCATGTTTACACACATATATATAAAAAACATAATTTTGCAACAAATCAGCACTAGAAGACAGGAAACATATACAGATATTTTCCCTCCACTCTAGTCCTGATTTGTTGCAATCTCTTTGCATCACAAAAAAAGATAATCTGATTCTAAAAAGCTAAAAAAAAAAAATTGGCCCCTTTTACTAATTAGAAAATAATGTGCTAGATATGCCAAAGAAAGAATTTAATTGAATTATTCATCTGTTTTTATTTAGAGATATTTTCACTGGAGAATTGGTATATCACAACTGGCATTTTTCTTCCCATGAGCTAACAAGCTTGTGTAAGCCGGGAAACATGGTCATCCCTTTACACTGTGCTATAAAACACTTAATTTCTGTGCCTATGCAGATTGTAAGAATACCCAAAGTCATCCCTTTCATTTAGGTTTCTGAATGGCCTTAACATGTTTCTTGCCAATGTGTTACCTCTTAAGTAAACAGCTTTTAAAAAGCAAAACTGGTAACAATGACAACAATTTTGCACCCAATATGCCATATTTAATGACATGGAACTACTGTGGCTTTATTTATGCATCTCTAAAATAATAGAGAAAGGAGAGAAAGCACAGTTCTGCCTGCATAGCTGGGGAGGATCTGCTCCTTCGGCTTTCTGAATGACCTTTTCAACTATGTCATGGAATTTTAAATGGAGTCTCTGAATATATAGAAAAATCAGTATATCAAGTTTTAATATAAGAAAATTGAGAGTGCAGAAAGGGATAATGACAAGTTTTGAATATAAAAATATGGTATTTTGTTTTAGAGTTTATTTTTGGCAAAAAATGCAAAGGGAAAGAAAATGCAATATATAAACACGAAGTTAAAGAATAAGGCTGTAAGAACATACTACAGATATTATGAGGCAACAAGCTGCTTTTTAAGGCTAGAATTCATATCTGCAGGGATATTGTACATTACAGTGCATAAGATCAAAGTGGGAAAGCAATAGGCACCTTGGTTTTGTGCTGAAAGTACAAATCCTATATATATGCATACAAAGAAAATAGAATCTAAACAAGAGGTAGGTCTCTATATTTTATGTTATGTTTTATTCTTTCTTTTAAGTTTATTTTTCATATATGTACTACACTCTGTCTGACACAAGTGATTATTCTGCTTATGCAAAGAACACTTTATGAAAAAGGTATGGCTTACAGTGCTGGAACTTGTCAAAAGAAGGCATAGTAGAAAAAAGAAAATGGTGCCTACACTCAAACTGCAGATTCAACACCAGGAAATATATGAAAGCAGTCTCATTTTCCAAAGAAACAGAATGGCCACTGACACCAACTGAATGGAAGCCTGGTTGGTGCTCAGTACCTTTGAAAAGGTAGGTTGTTTAAATATAAATATGGGTATAGAAGCCTAATTTTAGGCACATTTTTAATATCTTGACCAAGGATAAAAGGCAGTAGTGTTTCAGAATGTCTTGCTTTGATAGCCCTCAAAAAAGGTAGGAGGTCTGGCTAGGTAAGATGAGTGAAGCTCTCATTATGTTTAATCTTTCTGCTTTCTTAACATAATGAAGAACTACTAGGTATTCTATTGAAAGTGCTTTTTTCTCTGGAATACTTGATTTTCTATTGTTGTTCTGTTATTGTATTGAAAAAGTGAATGAAGTACCTATTTATTCTGTGCTTTCACAATAATTTAAAAGAGAACGCAGAGACAGCAGTAAGTTTGTATTTTATGTCAGAATCTAGAAGTCAAAGATGTTTTACAAGGCCCCTAGCTTCTGAAAAGAAAGACGTGGTATAGAGGACACTCAGTATCTTTCAGGTCAATGTCCTGCTGGTCAGCAGGTCACAGAACAGCAATTAAGTTGCCTTCAATCCCATTTTTATGAAAAGACCTAGGGAAGATACCAAATGAAACTAAAGGACTTGGGAAGAAAACTGGGGCATTTATTAAAATAAAATAATACATATCTGTAGAAAACAGCAAAAAACTATTAGTTTTGTCAGCTTTCTCCTTCCAACATTTCCTGAATACAATCACTGTAAAATAAGATAATCACCTCTTTCGTTACACCTTATTGTTTGACAGGATGTGTTAAGCTGGTGTCCCTAATGACTACAGTAATACCTGCTGGTAAGGGCATGTGAACATCTGACTGTAGCCAACAAGCTACTCATGACTCGTTTCTTCTCTACAGATCAATATAAGAATCTTATGGATCAATTCATTTCCTTTAGTGGAGCAAAAACCAGCATGCTTCACAACAAAAGGCAGCTATAACAAGCAGCTGTGATACTTACATATAATTCCTCACAAAGGAATGAACAAAGGAATGTCTTTAAAAAAAATATGTCGGTCTTCATTATTTTAAAGTATAAAATTTATACTCACATCATTTTTTCTGTTCAGTTCTCTATGGGAAAGTATGACCCAATCTGCTAGAATATTTATGTGTTTGGTAAAAAGCACTGAGGTTTCGCTTCCCAGCCAAAAGGTCTTCAGAAGAACTGTCTGTGGCATGACTTGCTGATGCTGTGAATTGGTCCCTTCAACCAAACTGTAAAAAAAGAAAGTGAAAAAACCTAAATCTTTATGCCACTTTGATTACTATAGTTACCAGACAGAAACCTTGTCTTCTGTCAAAACACACACAGGTTTATGTATGGAAAGATCAGACACAATTTCTGACGAATAATAAGTAAAATAATGATGACTATTACAGTCAGACTGAAGGAATTCTAATATTGTGCTAATATTACATAAAGTAAAGGCTGCCTTTACTATCTAAAGGCAGTGCAAAACCAAGACATTTTTATACTTCATAAACTAAGGAAAGGTAATTGACTCCCTAGCTAAAGATAACAGTTAATTGAATTAAAAAAAAAAAAATCAGTATGTTCAAAATGCTGCTTGTCTACCTTAAAGAATGAATATTGAAACACTGCAAAGCTAAAAATACAACTTTATAAGCAAAATTAAATGCTTATTGAAACTTGTACTATAGTGAAATAATAGGCTGGGAAAAGTTAAGAGGCCTTAAAACACGATCAGAAAAAAATCCGATACAAATTACAATAAACAAACTAAGAATTGAGACATATAAAAGGAAATGCTAAACTGACATCTCTGCAGAACTTGTTAGGAACATACAAAACCTGCTACGTATCCAGAAATGCATGTGAAATTGTGAAAAAGTAGTAAGAAAGTATTATCTTATAAAACCCACCTTTTTATCAGAAACTCTACTTCAGCTTTTACTAAATCAAAGAAAAACTTCAATAATGTTTTGTGAACTATCCTCTGTTCATCCCCTCTCCCTGAATCTGGGACTGCATGACAAATGGTTTTGCAACAGAGGCAAGACCTGAAAAATAAACACCGAAAAATCCATTTGTATGACAGAAATCGTAGTCTGATCTATTGGCAAAAAAGTCAGCTTTGACTTTTGACCATTTTGACAAGGAAATACCTTGCTCCTCAGCAACATTCATCATTTTAAAGCCTAACTTTCTGGTTTTAAAGCTGTATTTAAAAAAAAAAAAAAGTTTGTGACTGAGGCTTTGTGTTGTAGATGAAGATTTTGTATTACAGTGTAAACTAAATAATTTAACCGTATTCAATTTTTCTCTCTCTACTTGTACTGTACAATTACTGAATTTAACAGACCTTCTTTAAAATCTTTAATTACAAGATACCCTTGTAATATTTTATAGGCATTGTAACATCCTACAAACCTTACTTCAGATTAACAGTTCACACATACTATTTGACAGGACTACAGTTTGTGATCAAGTCTAATGATTGTCTAATATGATGGAGATCATTTTGAAGTAAAGTGCGAACACATTTTTTTGGCTAGAATTTTGAGTACTGGAACCACGACGTATACAACTGCTGGGTATTCACATTCTGCCAGTAAGTACTAAGAGATAAAATACTTTATCTAAAAGATAAATTCTCTTCCATTCCATGTGACATGCTACTAATAAAAACTATTAAATGTCCAATTACAGTGATTCAAGTACACTGATTCAATGCCCCTCAAGACTATAGGCATGCTTACAATCATACACATTCATTTATCTGTAATCGTGATTGTATCAAAGTATTTAAATGCTACTTAAGATTTTATGACAGTAATAAGAAGAGGTACAGTTTCTCTTCCAAATGAATGGAAGAACTAATTTCTATCGATGTGAATTACAAAAAATGAGTTCTCAGGCAAAAGCCTAGACTAACTACCCAAACAGCTCTTACGTACTGTGTCTTGTATTTGTAGATGTATAGGATATAATCAGACTTCCTGAATAAGATGGTAAAGTTTATGATTAAAATCAAAATACAACATGAAGATTCATGTTTGGTAAGATAAGACTGGAATTTGCTTTGTAACTGCAGATATATATGTGCCTGTCTATATCCACACATACACACCGGAACAGCAATAATACATAAATTATTATAATTTGTGGAAAGCTTAAAAAATAAAATAAATAATTTTTTAAAAAGGAAGGAGGACAAGAAAATGTACATTTTTTCCTTACCAAAAAAAACCCTCTGCCTGTGAGATAACACGTTCTGAAACATAAAGTGAAAGGTCCAAATCTCAGTTACAATTCTAGACCTTCACATACAGTTCACTTGTTCTGGTGAAAATGTGAATTTGATACAACAGAATTCCAACCTTCCTCCCCTGTCCCTGAGTCTGGAGTAGCATAACAACCATTGCATCCAATACCTCATCAAACTTTCATACCTTACAAGCATCTCTATCAAGGACCATGTGCCTTTCTTACAGATAGGACACTGAAAAAGATCCAAATAATACTTTAACATAGACGGGGACTTCCAAGGAGGATCACGTTGGAGAATAATGTACAAAATGTGATGAAGTTTAGCACAAAATACTGCATCTGTATTTCCCTGTAATAAAATGAGAAAATAATATTGGCTCCATACTGGCCAAAGATCCATAATCACTAAGAGTTTATGTATTTTCTTTATTCCTTACAATCCCAAGTGACCAAATTTAATCAGTAACATGCACTTTAATGCATAACTACAAGCAGAAAAACTCAAAGTTTACAAAACAAAAAAAAGGAAGGAAACAAGGAGAGCTTGCTCTAGTGTGATATTTCAACTGAATGCATCACTGCTTAAAACGAACCTTCTTCTCAATTGAGCTCTCTATCTATCTAGGTTAAAAAAAAAAAAAGTCAGATAAGTGCTGTTTCTAAAAGCAAAAAAAAATTCTGGGCCAATTCTTCCACAATATTTAGAGCACTACCTTCCTATGGCTTTTTAAATAACACTAATTTTAAAAAATCCTTAAGTATTGAATTCTTCCCTTTTTAACACAAACACATTGATGAACAGAAAGTGAAAGGTGAATACATCACTAAAAACCACTAAATATAATGTCAGAAGCAAAGATCATAAAACTTCCATTTCTTGCTTTAATATTTATAATACTTTAGTCTTCATCTCTCACCAATAGGACATATTCTAGAAGAGAATGAAGAAGTTGCACGGGAGGTGTAGAGTACTTTTGACCTGCAACAAGTTCTGTGATTACATCAGGAAATAAATACTCTTCCATTAATCCTTCAAGTATATACCATGTGCTTCTGGACAGGTCAGTACTTTTAACCTAGGAATAAGACATCTTTGTAAGTAAAAGAACAGTGTAATAAAAAAACAAGAACTAAGAGCAAATCTCTAAGTAAACTGTTGGTAATATAATAAAACAGGGAGAATATTATAAATTGCACAAGAAATATTACTTATTGCCTGATCCAATAAGTTGCTGTCATCTAGAAAGGCCTTCATGCTTACTGAACTGGGCTTTCATTGAAAAGGTGTTAGGTTTCAAAATGTGCTTCTCTTCTTAGAAGATCTGAATACATCTACCCTTTTAAAAAACAAATTACAATTCACACACTTAATAACTTGTCTATAATGTATTCTGGAAAGGTACGCAAAGGAGAGTTAATATTTCCAAAAGTGCAGACTGCATCCCACAGTATATGGCCAGAGCAATAAGATAATTAGTAGAGAAAAATGTAAAATCATGAAATACATAATTTACGAGTACACATCATAAAACTATAAACTGTGTTTTATCTCTCTAGCTCTCCTATTCCCATATAGCATGTCAGAGAAGCAGCTAATGCTACAGATAGCACAGGTATTGATCCCAGTAGATTTCAAAGCTCTGAAGATCTTCTTAATGGCACAGGGCTTCCTTCTTATTCTCTGCCACTCATGACAGCAAAACACTTAACTTTGCAAGCTTTCAGAGGACCCAGAAGGATCTAATGGCTTTCATGAAATGCTGTATCTACCCTGCAATTTCCCTGCTTTGTCTGTATGCTCAGCTTTCCAAACCTTTATTTCCACAGGTTAATGACACAAAAGAGGAGCTATTGAAGTTCTCAGCTACATTGCTATTTACATGTTTCCTCTAGTCCAGGTTAAAGCCAAAGCTAAGATGCACAAACCAGTTGCAACCATATTGCTAATTGAAGCACAGCTTCCCTCTGCCTGGTAACTTCTGTTTTGAAATCCAGCTATTTTGTTTGACCACACAGCCTGAGGCTCTGGTAAATGCAAGAAACTGGGAGAGGGAGTCACAACTCAGAGAAGCAGAGTCAGCAAGATCACTGATTGGACTGCTGGGAATTAAAGTTACATAGCTCACGGCTTGGATAAGTGCACTCTTCGCTGGGTAAAAAACCGGCTGAATGGCTGAGCCCAGAGAGTGATGGTGAATGGAGTCAAATCCAGTTGGCGACCAGTCACGAGTGGTGTTCCCCAGGGCTCAGTATTGGGGCCGGTCCTGTTCAATATCTTTATTGATGATCTGGATGAGGGGATTGAGTGCACCCTCAGTAAGTTTGCAGTTGACACCAAGTTGGGCAAGGAGTGTTGATCTGCCTGATGGTAGGAAGGCTGCACAGAGGGATCTGGACAGGCTGGATCGATGGGCTGGGGCCAACTGTATGAGATTCAACAAGGCTAAGTGCTGGGTCCTGCACTTCGGTCACAACAACCCCATGCAACGCTACAGTACGCTTGAGGAAGAGTTGCTGGAGAGCTGCCCAGCAGAAAAGGACCTGGGGGTGCTGGCTGACAGCCACCTGACCATGAGCCAGCAGTGTGCTCAGGTGGCCAAGAAGGCCAATGGCATCCTGGCTTGTATAAGAAATAGTGTGGCCAGCAGGACCAGGGAGGTGATAGTGCCCCTGTATTCAGCACTGGTGAGGCCACACCTCAAGTACTGTGTTCAGTTTTGGGCCCCTCACTACAAGGACATCGAGGTGCTGGAGTGTGTCCAGAGAAGGGCAACGAAGCTGGTGAAGGGTCTAGAGCACAAGTCTTATGAGAAGCGGCTGAGGGAGCTGGAGTTGTTTAGCCTGGAGAAGAGGAGGCTGAGGGAAGACCTTACCACTCTCTAGAACTGCCTGAAAGGAGGTTGTAGCGAGGTGGGGGTTGGTCTCTTCTCTCTAGTAACAAGCGATAGGACAAGAGGAAATGGGCTCAAGTTGTGCCAGGGGAGATTTAGATTAGATATTAGGAAAAATTTCTTCATGGAGAGAGTGGTTAGGCATTGGAACAGACTGCCCAGGGAAGTGGTGCAATCACAGTCCCTGGAAGTGTTCAAAAAACATGTGGATGTGGTGCTTAGGGACATGGTTTAGAGGTGGGACAGGCAGGTAGGTTAACAGTTACACTCTATCAGCTCAGAGGTCTTTTCCAACCTTAATGATTCTATAATTGTATGATTCTGTAAGTTTATTATAGCTTTAGTCCCTGACAAACTGAAAACTGGCTCCTAATGTACATTAGATTAAGCTACTCAAGACATCCTAGCAATTGTTTTAAAATTAGTTTAAAATTTAAATTAACACAGACTTTGGTTCCAATTGTGGTTTTGAGGTTGACAGAGTACACTACTATTAGCAAGATAGTTTCCAAAAATGTTTCAGTAATAAACTGCCATCATTAGGAGCTCAGTCAAACCTGAAAAAACTTCTGAAAGAAATTATAATCATAGTTAAATCACAGCTAAAGTCTCAGTGAATGAGCTCCACCTTAGCATTAGATATTTAGTTTCTCTGCAAATGTTTCATTTCTCAGATTCCTAATGTATGCCGTTGTAACAATAAATAAACCCACTCATCTAGATAATTTCCTTTTAATCAAGTCTTTGTGCATCTGGTGTATGCAACTCACATTTATTTCAATTTTCTCATCCATGCATGCAATATTAAAATCTTCACATTATTTCCTTTGGAAATAATGGTTGCATTCATACTTTTGTAATGTTAATTATATGCAAACAGCATATCTAAAGAGCAATCATAAACTTTTTAATAGTAGTCAACGAACAACTTCTCTGTTGGATTTAAGATGTGTGAAGATGATTCACTATATTGTGCATGTACAAGCATGTTACTACTGGCCCTCATCTGGTGATCATACCAGTATCCATCTTTTTGTATTGTGATTGGAACTTCTATCTCTTGAAAATTCTGGTACTAGAAGAAAGAGCAACATCAATGCTTTATTTGGAAAGTACACTGAAATAAAGCTGTTTGGGGAGAGTGTGAGGCCTTTTGCATTACATTCAAGATAAGGATGAAGTAGAGAGCCGGTTTTCAGTGTATTTGTAAGGGGGAAGGAAGGAGGACAGAAAACTGAGGTGATGAACTTTTTTCACTATCAGGAGACACCTTTTGTAGGGCCTTAACGTTCAATAAGCTGTACAAAGCTGCACTAGATCACATTCTGGCTGATGAGGAACTAGTACTTTCTGGTGAAGCACTGCTGGTACAACCATTAAAACTTTGAGCAGAAACAGATGAAACATGAAGGCCCGCAGACAATAAGTTGTGGTTTTTATAGTGTAACATGGAAGAGAAGCTGACAAAAGAGAAATAGATATTTTAAGGAAGAAGATAGATAACACTTCGCTGAGTTAAGTCTTCCTAGAAGATGCAAACTGAGATGAATGAATATAGAATGTAGTTCTAATCTGTTAATTTAGTCCATAGGTTTTATTTTACTTCACTAGTATTATTGGAAATGTTTATTGGAGCTGTTTTTAAAAGCCATAAATATACTGCCTATAGAAGTCCCATATCAGTTGCAAAGGCTAGTAATGGATATTCCACAAAGCAGTAAAAGACAGTAGCAGGTCATGCACAAGGGAAGTATTAGAATTAGGCTTAAAATTTCTAAACAAAAAATTATATTAAGAGTACAGAATAATAATTTCAGCTTACATGTGTTAAGAAAGCTAATTTTTTTCCCCATAAACTCAATAAACTAAGCATTAACATTAAATTTCAATGCAAATCTGTTCAGTAACAGAAATGCACAGAGCATTTTGCCCACTAATGGTAGTGTTGGACAAAGGCATTTTAGTGCTTGTGTTTTAAAAATATTTTTCTCCTCCCTTCCTTAATGTGTCAATAGAAAGAAATCAAATAAAAATAGACTTCTGTGAAGCCTGAGAGCTCATTTCTCAGACTGGGACCTCATTTATATATCAAGTAACTATTTATGTAGTACGGCTCATGAAGATACCAAATCTTCAGCTACCAAGAAATACAGGAAGCTAAGTGTTTCCCATTTTAACTTTTAAATAGCACAAGTTGACATATAAAGTACAGTAGCTCATAGCTACTATGTATAATGCTTTTTAAGTACTAAGAGGTAATGTTTCAACATTATTTAAAGATTTATTCTTAGTATTACAGATAGAAAAGGGAAAATTTGGAAGTATTTATTTACTTAAGATATAACAAAGACTTAATAAAACCTGTTCCTGACCTGTACCTGATTTATGGCCTATATTTGGCCTAATGGGAAGAAAAATGAGAAATTAACTAAATAGCCTAAAAAGAGAAATTAAGTCAAAGTAATTATAAAATCAGGACTGGAAAACATAATGTATTCTACTTGCAATCTGTGCTTCAGTACACTCTGAAACCTGCATGATGATGTTTAAGGCTTATGCTGTAAGAACAACTGCTCATTCTTTCTACAGTGACACTTCAGCTAATGTTTGTCCCTACTAGCAAAAACATGTGAGCACTGCAAGAAGTTACGTATACTTACTCTTTCTTGGTACTGCATAAATACAGTGCTTGAATAATTAAGATGCTCTAAATCATATTAGGACATCTTTGCTTCTGTTCTTCTGATGTTAACAGGTAAAGTTCGCTTAACCAGCAGGACTAAAGAATTTCTTTGTAATAAAGGGGACAGTACTGAAAGCACTGTAAGAACGAACAAAATTCAACAGTATTCCAATGATGCTCTTTAATTCTTCAATAATTTTATTAGAGTTTTGGATAACATAAATATTTTAAAATGTTTCTTCGACAGCTAATTTCACAATGAAAGCCTAACTTCATAATAAAATTCCATATATGCAACATGCCATCTCTGTGAGAATCCTTACCTTTAGACTGCATTTATTCAGCTGGTCTTTTTGAGCAAACCTGTGCTTCATGGCCTGTAAAACAGGATAAAGTCAACCTGCACACTGGATACCAATAAACATGTTCAATAAATACTCTATAAAAAAAAACCAAAATGGCAACTTTTTTTAAACACAGTTCAAGCAAAAAATTCAACACAACAATCTATTTATATTTCCCTTTTTAATGTTTGGGTGGCAAAATTATGCAATAGAGGATTAGTGACCTAAAAGGAGAATAATATGGGCAATTTTTCTCCACATTTTTCCTCTTATTCTCTCCTTCTTGTTTATGTGGTTGCTATGTAAGGACAGTTTTACTAGATTTGGTCCGCTTAACCACATTAAAAAATATTGTTTTCAGTTTTTCTATGTCAAAATGTAGACTTTGGATTCCTCTTGCAAGTTAGCTATAATGTGGAGATATGGCAGTAGGTGCAAAAATGTACTACTATTATTGCTATATTTAGTTATGACCTACCGTTAACAATCTTACTCATACATGTTACCAAAGAAGTCTTTTAGGAGAGATTGTCTTTAGGATTATGATTACTTCATCTGAACATAACTACATAATAGCTTGAGGGAAAGATAATCTGGTAAGAAGTGCACTTGTTGTATGTAGTCTATATGAAAAGGCAAAGACATTTATTTGTTAAAAGTCTGGAGGGTATGGTCTTGATAAAATGCCACCAATAAAAGATGTAGCATTTGAAGGTGTATAGATTTAAGCAGCCTGAGTCTTATGTTTGTTAATCTCGTGTTTAAACTTTGTGTACATTAAGGACTTAAGAATTCTAATTCTTTTGCTACTATGAACTTATATTAATATACATAGAGGACCTGATTTTGCAGTGACAAATCATAGTGCTTCATGTAAGCAAACTCCTACAAAAATACTTACACACCATCATCTGCATCACTGTAACTTACAGAGATAATAGATCCTAACCCAAAGTAATAAATTGTTTTTTCTAGATCTGAAATAATGTTTTTAATTAGCAATGAAGCACATTTATCAGTATTAGATATGTGACAACATTAAAACAAAGGAGTGCATTTAGCTCTATTTTTACTTGTAATAAAAACCATTGATATAAATCCACAAATACTTGCTCTAGGATATGGTTAGTTTTAAAAATGTGTTACTGTAATTCAGCTAGATAGCAGGAAAGTCATAGAAAGACTGTAATCCAATGACACTTTGTTGAACAATATTAGCTACTACTTATCTCATGTATTACACGAAGATTTCAAGTAGTCCACCATGTCTTCCGTACATCCATGCCTACCAATTACCATTACTAAATTATATTTTAGCTAATGGTAAATGTAGTAAATATGGGATTATTAAACATTGCAGGTTAAAAGATGTTCAAAAGATGTTAAAATATCTAGTTTATTAGCTTAGTACTATAATAAAAGATAAATTTAATAAGATACATTTTACATTTTCTGCTAAGAAAGCATTAACTGATTGTTACTTACCACAGCAAAATACATATGTTTTATAACAGCATTTTTCATTTCAGCAAGCTGCATGTTAGACATGATTTGGTTGGTTTCTTGTGCAGCTAGGAAATGGTTCATTTGGATATCTTCAGTATTTTGTATTTCATTCTGTGCAGAGCAAAAAAATACCACTTTTTTTAGTTTCAAAGCTAATGCTCTAAAACAGCTTTTATGTGCTAAGCCTTTCTATATATTCTATCATAACCCATTGTGTGCATATGCATACTTATGTAATTGTTCAAGGGTCTACATTATGATCCAGATAAACAGCTGGTGGTTTGGAAACAAACGACTGATGTTGTGGGAGCTATAGCACAGGAATTATCAATGCAAGCTTCCCCACAGTTATTTTCCTAACTGACTTTAACTCTGACCCAATCCCCATGGCTGAAACAAGAACAATATTTCCATAATGGATTTTCTCTTTGGACTTTTCAAAAACTAAAACCAAAGCCCACACCTTTTCAATTAGTCAAAAATGTAGTAAGGATTCTTTAAGACATTTTTTCATCAATTTGACTATGACCATGCATTTATTTTATAAAGGCCACCACCATGAAATCTTTTCTGTTCTTGCCTATAAGCCTGAACTAAAGTAGTAATCTAAAATTTTAAAGTTCTTTTTTTTTTTTTTAAGTAATCTGTTTTCCAAGTCCATGTATCATTTCCAGCTATTTCTTCAGCACAAGGAATGAGGAAGTATTTCTCAAACAGGTTTCCAACTCATTCTGAAAAGACTCTCAGTGAAGCCACAAGATAATTTATCTTAGTAAAATTTTTGTTAGCCACAAGATAATTGTTGTTAGTAAAAATTAACTGCAAAAAAAATTTAAAAGTTATTTCAGGAGATGGGAACAATATATTTCAGTAAGAGTTTTAATGTATGCTTTTTGTCAAAGATAGACAGACTAAGAATAAAACACCATCTTTGTTTTAGGCAAATACACATGTAACTACAAAACCAGCCTCCTCCTGCAGTGTCATGAGTTAAGAACACAGATACAGGTGAAGTGCTCCCCTTGGAGCTCCCATTTTTTACTGGGAGCAGATGTGGAAGGCTCACAGTGTGGGGTAGCTTGTCTTCTAATTCAAACATCTAAATTTGATGGGTGAATCAAGTATAGGAAATACAGGAAATAACAGTAGGCAAAAAACCACACTCGTGCATGCAATGATAAGATGCAAGCCACGAACAGTTTATACTTTTAAGTTTTCAAGATAAAGTTTCAAACGCTGCACGTTTCATCCTGTTTTCAGATTTTCCCTTAAATGTATAATTCAAACCAAAAGTATTTAGCATGTGCATAACTATATTTCTAAACAAATACTGACTTTGTTGCACATTACAGAAGAGTTAAGTATTTTTGGTAACTTGAAAAGAGCTCTAAATAGCTTTTGATGAACCAGCGATAACTCAACTCTGATGCATTAACTACTCTTTACTTCTTGTGGCACTTTCTGCATATTATTTTCAATATGCTTATAAAAATACTTATATTCAAACAACTTGTAGCACCATCTTAGCAAAATGTTATGAATTCCAGCATGCAACCAACCAAGCATTTAAAGCCTCTGTTTAAATTTGAGACTAGCTCCCTAAAATCATGCATGTGTTTTAATATCTTGAACCAATAAATTTGACACCTTGTAGGATCAAATAATTAACAACAATCCCACAGTGTATTTTAACACTAGAGTTATGAGGTTGAGATTGTAAGAATAGATACTGAAACATAAAGATGAAGGAAAGACTTGGTTCAGAAAAAAATCACAGCAAGAACAGTCTGAAAGTGCAGTTCCACTGAAAAAAAGAATCCTGTTATACGGAATTCAGCATCTGGACACATACGTGGGTGTTTAGGGGAGGAAGGGGGGTATTTATTTTCACTAGAAGTAGCAGTCAAATAGCAGGACTACAAATTTACAAAGTTGGAACATTCTAATGAATTATGTGCCAAGTACTTCTGGGAGGGAGAGAAAAGAGTATGTCCATAACATTCTTTGATAAAGCCTAATACATTTGGACAAGTGTTGTGATTTGATTGCCTATGTTTTATTCTTTTCCTTTTAAGAGACTAGGAGTCTTGGCAGTATTCTGAGTTCTTTAAATGCATTTAAATAGAAAGCTAATGCTCTCTTGGCCTCTGAGGTGAGTTACTTTAATGAAATCTAAGAAAAAAAAGATACGTGCAAGTTAATGGACTGGTTACAATAGAAACCTGTTATCACACCTGGGAGGAATTCAGGGTGCATAGCAAGAAACACTTTATTCTCATAGAGATCAATAAAAGGTGAGGTAGCCATAAAAACTTGACACTCATTCCTCTATTAAATGTAAGTATCTATCTTAGCTGAAAGGTGCAACAGAGAACAGTTTCCCTGAACAAGTTTCATTAAGAGAGTAAGCATTAGACTGAGATCCCATGTGGATGTGTGTTTTAGTCAGGGTGTAAACATTAAGACCTTTCAACCCTCTTCTCACCCTTCTCTAACAGCTTTACTGCTCATTAAAACAGGAAGAGCAAAGTATATGCTTTGACCTGAAGAATCCAAAGGATTTTCAAATGAAGTAGGTTTTCTTAGTAACAAACAGTTTTAACTCCTACTTGCTTGCAAAGCTGGTGTTTTCAATTAGCAGTTGACTAAAATCATCCTACAGTCTGACAAACCACCAGACTAAAGGAATCTTCTGAGGCCTTGGAGTAGTTCCACGTCAAAACACTAAGTTCTGAGTAGTGCATCTGTGTCCTGGTTTTGGCTGCGATAGAGTTCGTTTTCTTCCTAGTAGCTGGTATAGTGCTGTGGTTTGGATTTAGGATGGGAATAATGTTGATAACACGCTGATGTTCTAGTTGTTGCTAAGCAGTGCTTACACTGGTCAAGGACATTTCAGCTTCCCATGCTCTGCCTGGTGCACAAGAAGCTGGGAGGGGGCACAGCCAGGACAGCTGACCCAAACGGGCCAAAGGGCTATAACATACTGTATGGCGTCATGCCCAGTATATAAACGGGGGGGAGTTGGCTGGGGGGTGCAGAGACCTGCCTGGGGATGGGATGGGCATCAGTCGGTGGGTGGTGAGCAATTGCATTGTGCATCACTTGCTTTGTATATCACTTGCTTTGTATATTCTTTTATCATTATTATTATTATTATTATTTCCTTTCCTTTTCTGTCCTATTAAACTGCCTCTATCTCAACCCACAAATTCTACTTCCCCCCAATTCTCTCCCCCATCCCACTGGGGAGGGGGGGAGTGAGCAAACAGCTGTGTGGTGTTTAGCTACCTGCGAGGTTAAACCACAACAATCTGGTAAGCAAACAGATATGAATCATTAAGCATCTCTCTCGCTAAGGAAACAGTAAAAAAAAAAAAACTGTAGTTCTAGTGAATTCCGCACATACAAGAAAATTCACTGAACAGTGACATGTCCCCTCATAGCTGAGATGGAAAAGTGAAAGAGAAACAGGCTGCTCCTCTTGCTCTGATTTCTCTTTTGCATCACTGTAAATTTAACTCCTTATCCAATTTTGGAGCTTAATGGTAAACCTAACACTATGAACCATTTAATATTGCACTGGATGCCTCCAACAAAAAACTCCATCTCTCTGGAATGATGACTTTTTAGTGTGGCTTCTCTCTTCAAATAAGGCCCATCCAGGTCCTCACGTCTTAGTGGATCTGATGATGCATTGTCCCACGTTCTAGTTTAGTTAACAGAAGAAAGCTGTTGCAGGGACTTTGGAGAATCCTCTTCTACCAATCAAGAAATACAGAGCTTGTATTATCAAGAATTTAACACTTTTGACTAGTAAAAGAGAAAGAAGTTTTGTAATGAATGGTGACAGCTTTTCTAACATGGAAAGAGACCAAGCTGTGAGCATCATGTGATTTGTAAGGACTCATTAACATTTTCTGAAACACAGACAATTACGTCCCTTCTGAGTCCGTGAAAGAGAGTTCTGCAAATGGAGAAGCATTACAGTATATAAACTGTCAGTATATAAGACATTCTTAACAAGTCTTTTTGGCATGCTAATCTATTTTCATAGGGTTGCTGGTTTATTATAGAATCCTTTAGTTTAAATTAATTTTATTTAATTCTGTCTACAAGTATGGAATGATCTTTCTACAGTAATGGAGAGTTAAAGGTACACTCAGATAGCAGTTCATGAAAATATTATAGGAAATTATAATTCTTGCAGCATCAAGCTCAGTGCATTGATTGAAAAGGGAATACAGGTGACTAGCTGACATTAGATTCCCAGCACAGAAGTAGTCTGATTGAATTTCCTCTGCCTAGTGTACAGCCCCCTTACAAAATTCACATTGCAACCACCAGTTCTTCCCAGCCATGAAGGACAGCTAGCAAACTGATTTTGAGGTAAGAATCTGAATTTTAACAAAATAATCTAGAGACTATTTTACCATAGTCTATCTATAACATTATGAAAAAAAGGTAGAATAATTGAGGTCAGCTGACAAAAGAAGTTATTACATGGATCCTGAAGCACGAAGATACTATTAATACAGCTTAATGGTGTCTGCCAAACCCAGTAAAAAATATGTATATTCATATACATAGATAGACAGATAGATACACACACACATCTGAAATCCTTACCAAATAAAGAAAATATAAATTAAAAATAATACTTTTTTCCTTGGTATTTTTTGAACAACTGTTTAGTTGATGATCACGTACACTATAACTTCCTCCTGAAGTCTAATTAATTTTTCCAATAATAGTAGCACAAAGCAGGAGCCAAGGAAGAACATGAAGAGGAAGAACAAATAATGTGTGCTTCCTTGGTGTTATTTCTTCTGGTCTGAAACAAAACACTGCTTTTAAAAGACAATTTTTCTATTACAGAATCACAGAATGCGTGAAGTTGGAAGAGATGTCTGGAAGACATCTGGTCCAAACCCTTGGCCCAAGGAGGTCCACCTAGAGCCAGTGGCCCAGGACCATGCACGGGTGGCTCTTGAATGTCTTCAAGGATGGAGACTCCACAGCCCCTTTGGGCAACCTGTTCCAGTGCTCCATCAGTCTCCCAGTAATGAAAAAAAAAAAAAAAGGGTGAGCTAGGGCACCACTGAAAACAGCCTGGCTCTGCCTTCTTTGCACTCTCCCTTCAGGTATTTATATACATTCATAAGCCTTCTCTTCTCTTGGATAAGCAGTCCCAGAATCAGCAAGTTGTATTACCTTTAATCAAATCACAAAACATTCAGGCTGATCATATTTCCCTGTTATTAATGCTGAATTATTTACAGTAATCAGTAAACCTGACATAAATTGCTAACAACGACAATGAAAAACTAATTTTAGATACGTTTCTTAATTTACTTACCTCAAAAAGGTAATCTCCTAGATACTGCAAAGGGTAGCATCGAGCTTCAGAGAGACATTTTTTGTTTTGCATAGGAAAAATTTTATTATTGATGAATATATGAGTTATATTGTGCTCTGCATTTTGAGATGAACATATGGTTGCCTTTCCAGCTTGCAGAACTCTAAATAAACATATTTGGAAAGATGTGTTTACTGCATTGTATTAATACCACCTAAAGCTACTTTATCATCCACAAACTACAAGCATGCAAGTGCAGAAGAATAAGGGTTCTAGATGTATGACACTGCCCAACCTTCATTAGGAGGATAAAACGGCGCTTAATAGCCTTCAGAAAAGGAAAGAACCCACTTAACAAGATATTCTTCTCTTCACAATTTAACACTATTAATTAAAATCGATGTACACCCCTGCATATCTGATAGAAAGCTTTACCTGTGCATTTTTTCAAAGATAAATTTGGTGACAGCAGCTATAATTTATTGCATTATATCCCCCACAATGATGATGGTCTTTCAATTAAGTTTTACAATAAATTAAGTGGTTTACCAAAAATGGAACATTGCTTTTCTCAACTGTAACATGATATTTTCAGAATGCAAATACACTTTTTTCTTCATTTTGGAGTCATTTACAGCATTTGGTACTGTCCAATATCATACACAAAAACCAGATTTGTTTGTCTTTGGGACACCATTACATGTAAGAGTTTCCCCAGGGGCAAGTTCCAGAGTCGCACTGCTGCAACTATTCCTATCTTTTAGAAAAGATACCAGTCAAAAAAAATGGTGGAAGAAATAAGTCTCTTGACATGCTGGATATATGTTTTATTTTTCATAATCCAGGTATGTAAAAAGAAAATTATGCTGGTCTCACACACTTACCCATCCAACAGCTAGGCACTAAAGGCAGGAAAAGCATAGAAGGGGGAAAAAAGGTACAGTGTTGTGAATATTAGAGGAAAACCAATCTTTCCCCAAAGCTACAGTGGACTTTATAACTGAAGACCTTTTTTGTCTCCAGCAAGTACTATCTACCTTTCAGTGTTTTCTGACTAAAAGGAACCCCATGTTGGTGTATGGGAAACAGCCTGGAAAAAGAGATTCCTTCCACAAATTGCCTGTTAGGTTCCTGTCTTGCTGATGTAGTTCCGTTAAAGGTTATTTCTACTGCAGAGAGTTGTGCAAGACAGCATTTCAATAGTGTTAGCATGAAGATCTGCATAAACAGTTTTTATGGAAAAAGAAACAGCATTTTTCACAAGTGTAGCAGGATGAGTGCATCTTTCTGCAAGACAGCACATAGTAAACTCTTCCGCTCAGCCAAGAAAATAGCATACTTAGAATGTCTTCAGTTGGCAAAATCAGAAGATGGTAACTTCAGCTACACCTCACTTTGTCTTTAGGAACTGCAGACAGACAGGCATTCTGCAATGCAGCATGCTGCCCCATACCATCATCAACCTGACAAACTGGCCTTGCCTTCTTGCCTGTGCATCTGTGGCACGCCCAGACCTGAGAAGTACTCCTAACTAACTGGGATTTCAACAGGGGAGAGTAGGACAGTATCTGCTCCTGCAATGAACGTAAAACGCTAAAACAGCATCAAGGGATGGTTGCTTTTACTGTACCAGAAGCAAACAGTAATGAATATATTGTTTGCAATTCAATGTAGTATTTAAACCACAGAATCCAAAGGGGGGGGGGGAACGGAATGGAAACATAGTCCCAGAATTCTGGCATTTCAGTTATTTTCTTTGCTTTTCCTTCATACATTTGTCCTTTCCCTTCTGAACTATCTGTACTTACACCGTATCAGAAACAGCTGTTACAGTACAAATTAGGTCTTCGGAACTACAAGAAGCTGTTGCATAGGTGTGACACAAAAACCGATCAGATCAGTCACAGTGTGGCCTGGATCCATAACACACAGTTCACAGCTGGCTCAGGTCACCCACCCAGGTGAAATAACGTATCCTGTTCCAGCTATGATTTGAATGTAACATCCACACAAAATAAACAATTACTCATAAAAAACATAAGCCTATGCATCTTGCCTCATGAAGAAAGTTTCTGTAAGCAGTTTACATAAGATGCAAATACATGAGAATGCGTGTTATTTTTGGCACTATACTAAAAGAAAGCAAGAAAAGCAGTGGTGTTAAAGTAATTTTATTATTAAAAAGTATGGAAGTGTATTAATGAAAACAATTCAGTTTGAAGAGTTGGAGGTTGCTATGGACCAAATTAAATGGGATGGAAGAACAAAAATGTGTTCAACCATACAATAAGTGTCCCATTGTTCATTATTTAAGCTTTAAGACATATCCTCCTACCTTCTAATAGACGCCATTTGTTTATCACCTTCCTTAACAAGGAGGACAACTTTCCATCTGTGGAAGGCCCCTGGAGCACTACAGTGTGTCAGTTCTTTGCGCCATCTTTTAGGTGCAGATTGCATTTGAGGTGAATAATGGGTGTCTTTTTCAATTTCATATCCCCATTCGTACGTTGTTTCATCAAGCCATCTGCCACTTTCGGCACTATTAATTATGTACTCCTTAGTTAGTATCCACTTTCCTAAAAAGCAAATGAACTGTCAACCACAAAAGATTTTTTGTGCAGACAAATGGCAATCAACTGAAGATCTAATATAAAATTAACTTCAACCTTTCTTGTGCAAATAAAAGCTGGAATTTTAAGTACCATTTTAAAAACTTCTTCCTACTCCAAGAGTTCTCCTCTTCACACTTTAAAATCGGATATCTCACAATGCCACTGAAAATGATCGTTTTGTTTTCTTTTAACGATGAAGTACCTTTTTCCCCTTCAGAGATAAAACGTCTATCTCCTCAAAAATCTGCAAATGGAATTTTTCAGCCTCCCAGATCTTGTTCTTATGACTTCCACAGAACCTTGCTTAACCCTTTATTTTTAATATCATTTGACACTTTTAGAAATGTACTAAAATGTAGTAAATTGAAGAAATATTTTACCACCAATGATTAAAAAGAGGAATGAAGGTTTTAGCATGTAAGCTGTTTCTTTTATATCTTCTTAATATTACTTGCACTGTGAGTGTAGTGAATATCAATATTAGGGGGATACGGTTTTAGACTTTTGTCTTTCCCCTTTCTTCTTTTCACATGCTTTTCTCTCATCCCTTGGCTCCACCTCCTCCGCCTCTCCTCTTTCATCTTCCGCATGTATGCTTTTGATACTGTATGTAATGATCTTCCCCTTTTTCTCTGTCTCTCTCTTCTTACAGGTTCAGGTCAAGAGCCGTGGTTAGTACCCTGCTCCTGTATTGAAACACTACCTACAGAAGATACTGTAAGAGAAATTGACTTGAATTGTGTGAACCTAATTGGTTTCACAGAACAGCAGGGTTGACTGGCAAAATGTCTCAGTGCAGGAGCACAGATGGTACTTCTACATAACCTAGCATAGGTACTAGTAGACTTACGACTGGAAAAGGTATGCTGTGCACAACCTGTATGTTAAAATCACTTTCATTTCAAACTTTCCACCTCAAAACTTCTGTCAGCTAGGAAGTCCGTGAAGACTGGCATCCTTGTTAGTACTTCTGTTCACCTCTAGGGAATTCTAAATGGGTTTAAACATGTTCTTTTACACTTCCTTGGGAAAAACTGCAGTAGGAATGAACACTCTCTGCCATCAAAGGCAAGAGCAATGATTATGCAAAAATAGCACCTCTTCCACGAGTAAAAAGTACTATATGGTACTGGGGAAGATTTGCAAGTATAGAAACATGACAGAGTTTTGCATTGCCATGCAGACACTACATATATAATTTCCACTCGGTTCAAGAAAACATCTCCAGATGTTTTAAATCCCAAAAAGTACAAAAACATGAACTCAAAGGTTTATAATACTTAAAATTAAGTGCTATGCCACAAATCTCTGCATTTTAATATTGTTTCCCTCATGGAAACTTTTGGTCTCCTTCCTTTTTGATTAATTGACTGAGTGTAATCAGAATTTTACATTAGTACAAGGAATCACCCATATATATATACCCCCCCACTAAATTCTAGCAGCGACAGATGATTGAAAATGCATGCTAATATGGTATGTAAGTACAAATACGACACAAAGAAATTTACTTATACCTTTAAAGCCGAATCTATGTTTAGTTATTTCTGTCTGCTACCTCTTAAATTTAAGATTATCCATCCTAAAAATTGCTTTAACACTGGTACAATATGATATAGGGAAAATAAAGATCATGTTTAACCAGTTAACAGATCAGTATTATGAAATCTCATAAATCCACAAGATTTTCTAAACTCATCATAAAATCCTTCCAGGTAGTCTCATTCTAAAATCATTTTAGTTGCTTATGTATGGGATTTCAGCATCAAGCTGTAGGTAAAAGAAAAACCAAGAGGAAAGACCAGAGGCTTGTGTCAGAATGGCAAAAGCCTGGAACTTGCTCTTGCTGCATAAACAGGAACGTACAGACAGTGACCTTTACCAGTGAATGCTGTGTGTGAATTTGGTGTCAAAAATGCATGCTGACTACAGGTGTCCATACTCTCTCTGCCCCCTTTTCAAGCGAGCCATTTTTAAGCACCCGTATCATTTGGAGATGACTTCATGATCTAACTAATATAAAACAAAGCTTTCTGTTTGGGAACAGATGCAGATCAAAAAAAGGAAGATGGCAGAAAAATCATTGAGGAAAAAAATCCAAACCCAAAAGAAGTAAATCAGAACTTGAACATAATACTATGTTAAAAATCAAGGTTAATGGAGTAAGAAGAATGAGGGTTCGTAAGACAGTTCATTCACGAAATGAAAACAAGTAACTAGAAACCTTTTAAGGGTCCTTTCCAGTCCTATGTTATGATCCTATGAAATTTTACAGCAAATCTTTTACTCACCTGCAGCACAGGCGGCTAAGAACTTTTCACTCTTGCACGGCTTTTTTGCTATAAGATGTGTACAATTTCTGTATTTCTAATAAAACAAAACAACACACTTGTATCACTGAAAACAGTTTAACTTTCTCGGCTATTTATACACAAGTCTAAACTACCGCAGAGTCCTATATTTTAAGGCTCACATTTTTTGTTTCTGCTCTAACCATCAGATACTTTAGTGAACAATACCTTATTATCTAAAAAAAAACAGTCCAGTTTGAACAGCCATTCGAGTAGTGCCTTTTTCTCTTGTTTTTTAAAACCAGTTAATTGGATTATCCGTTTCTGGCCGCCACCTGCCATCTGTTAAAGGAAAAACAAACGAAAAGGAAACATTAACAGACAAAACACACATCACAAAACGTTGCTTGCATGATGTTACTAGTATTTCCTATTTGCTTTCTAATAAAAAGGGGAAACACAGCGAGAGGAATCAGCACTACCCGACGGCGGTACGCCACACTGCAGCCTGTCACTGCCTGTCACCGTCAGGACACCCGAAAGGCGGTAACGGGGTAGGCCAGACAACCCCAAACTGCGGCCTGCAACGGGCCGAGCCCCCCCGGGGCCGTCACCGCCGCTCGGCGCAACCCACACCCCTGGCGGGGGGGGGCCGC